GCAGCCAGAGTCAGTCCTCACAAGGTGGAATTAGAAGCAGGTCAGGAGTCATGGGGTTAGGTTCTCTCCAGTCCTTTCATCTCAGTATGAGGACTCTCAGTCTTTGGCAGACAGATTAGCCTGAAGCTGGCTGCCTGTTCCCAGGGGCATGTCTGCCTGCAGTGACTTGCTCCGGAAGACTCTTTTGGGACCAACACACCAGTTCCCATATCTGAACCCACTCATCTCACCCTCCAGGAGAGGGAGAGGGCGTGTTTCCCTTGTGCTGACATGGAGAATGGGATTCTTTTCCTTCTGAGTAAACAGTTCTGCACTGCAGAGGGTGGGGACAGATTAAAACCAAAAGCCTGGGATTAGGTTGTTTGTCTAGCACCTGCCTCCCCAGGGTGAGCTCACAGCTCTTAATGACACCCTTCCAGCCCAGTCTGGCTCACCTTCTTTGGAACCCTGGGTAATGCCTGACATCCTCTCTGCTCTGTTGCAGCTGGGAATTCACCTTTTTTTTGTTTTTCCTGCCAGTTAAAGTCAGACGGAATCTCCTTAAGATCCGTAGATAAGACCTGTGTAGATCTGTCAGTCATTAATCTGCATGCGATTGATGCATGCTTTTCATTTCTAATTAGACCTGTTTGTTGGAGAACAGATAAAATCAACTCGCACTTTTTAATGCTGTGGGAGCTAGTGACAAGGTAGACTCCATTTTCTACTTTATAGTTAGTTTTAACATTCAAACTATAAATATGAATTACTTTTCTGTCTGACTCCTCTGATGTAGGTTATTGTTATGCTAATTCAGGTGTATGTCTTCCTGGACCTTATAAGTATATAAATCTTGTGTTCTTTTGAACAAATTGGCTGGTTAATCCTTTAATCAGTTATTGAGAGATTGCTACAAGCACAGAGCAAAGGCCAGAGCTCTAAGCTTAGCAATTTGAAGGTCATCATTGTTATGCATTTGGTGCTTCTGCTTTGTTTTTTCTTTTTTCTTCTATTTTTTTTTTTTTCTTCTATTAAATAGAAAAGTTAGCCTAATCCTACAGCAAGCATTCTCCTTTAAAGTGGAAAGATGGAACCAGGGGAGGAGGAGATTCCAGTGATTCAAACAATAGGTAATGCTGCTGATGGGAACCATTTCTCATCTTTTCTTTTTCTCCCCCAGCTGCCCCCACTGTCTCTTTTCTCTTAGGTATTTTCTGGGAATGGATAACTGTCTCAGCAGGTTGCCTGTATTTGTCATCTAACTTTTCTGTTTTCTCAACAAAGTATTTATATGTATTCTGTAGATAACCTTTTGTTAGCACAAGTAAGACGTTTTTCCTTGATGTGTCCCTGGAAATGTTTGTTGAGACTTCATCAATTGCTGAGAAATAATAGGTTAAATTCAAACACATCATTCATTGATAGCTGTTTTGGCATCAATGGGGGGAGGTTAAATTTGTGTGGACGATTAATGTTGCCAGTAGAAGCATGAGGAGATGATTTACCATCAGATTCTTTGTGTGTAGAGGTTTTGGCTTGAACCCTGGGCTAACTGGCTTGATGATGGACCTCTAGCCAGTCATGCCCCAGACACTTGTCCTAGCTCATTTCCAGAGGATGCCAAAGGTGATCTTGGCAGCTGCTAGGATTGTCCTTCTATCCTCCATTCCCTCCTTGGAGTTCTTCTGCCAGGATGGTGGACTGGGTGTGACTGGGGCTTGGCCTTCCCAGGCAAAAGTCACAGGAATCCTGGCCTCTAAAGGAATTCTTCAACCCTTTGCTCTCTTGAAAGAAGCTGGTGTGGGGAAAACCTCAGAGTCTCTGATTGAGTCAGGAGATCCCTGTGGGGTCATCCCCAAGTCAGTGCCACATTAGATGCCAAAACCTGGCCTCTGTGCACTGCTGCCGAATGGAATCTGAGACTGAGTTTTGGGTGAAGTAGAAAAGAAGAGCTTTATTGTTTTCCAGGCTAAGGGGGATATAGTGGGTTAATGCCCCCTCAAAAGTGTTTGTCTCAGCCCAGAGAGATTTGATGAATTTTATAGCAATGCTTCAAGGGTGTGTTGCTGATAAGGATCAGAGTGTGTCCAGGGGCCACAGTCCTTTAATCTGATCTCAGATGTTCTCCTGATAAACTTCTGTGGTTCTCAAGGTTATCAAACTGTGACCTTCTCTCTGGAATGAAAAATGTTTCATCAAGGAGTTAACATCTTCCATTTGTTGTGGGTTTTGTTCTACAGAAGAGTTCAACGATACTGCTATGTATATCCCTTGAAGTGGAATGAGGATGCTGCCCCAAGGCCACATTATTGTTTTTTGACTGCAGCTCCTTTGTTCATGTATCCCCTCCTTTCTTTGATTAGCAACTATTTGAACCTGCTGTGAAAGTGTTGCACTTAATATGCCAGCAAATTTTGAAAACTCAGCAGTGGCCACTGGACTGGAAAAGGTCAGTTTTCATTCCAATCCCAAAGAAAGGCAATGCCAAAGAATGCTCAAACTACCGCACAATTGCACTCATCTCACATGCTAGTAAAGTAAAGCTCAAAATTCTCCAAGCCAGGATTCAAAAAAACATGAACCGTGAATTTCCAGATGTTCAAGCTGGTTTTAGAAAAGGCAGAGGAACCAGAGATCAAATTGCCAATATCCCCTGGATCATCAAAAAAGCAAGAGAGTTCCAGAAAAACATCTATTTCTGCTCTATTGACTATGCCAAAGCCTTTGACTGTATCGATCACAACAAACTGTGGAAAATTCTGAAAGTAATGGGAATACCAGACCACCTGACCTGCCTGTTGAGAAATCTGTGTGCAGGTCAGGAAGCAACAGTTAGAATTGGACATGTTACAACAGACTGGCTCCAAATCAGGAAAGGAGTGCATCAAGGCTGTATATTGTCACCGTGCTTATTTAACTTACATGCAGAGTACATCATGGGAAATGCTGGAGTGGATGAAGCACAAGTTAAAATCAAGATTGCTGGGAGAAATATCAATAACCTCAGATATGCAGATATCACCACCCTTAGGGCAGAAAGTATTATGGTAAAAAGAACTAAAGAGCCTCCTGATGAAAGTGAAAGAGGAGAATGAAAAAGTTGGCTTAAAACTCAACATTCAGAAAACTAAGATCATGGCATCCGGTCCCATCACTTCATGGCAAATAGATGGGGAAACAGTGGAAACAGTGGCTGACTTTATTTTTGAGGGCTCCAAAATCACTGCAGATGGTGACTGTAGCCATGAAATTAAAAGACACTTACTCCTTGAAAGAAAAGTTATGACCAACCTAGGTAGCATATTAAAAAGCAGAGACATTACTTTGCCAACAAAGGTCTGTCTAGGTAAAGCTATGGTTTTTCCCGTAGTCATGTATGGATGTGAGAGTTGGACTATAAAGAAAGCTGAGCACTGAAGAACTGATGCTCTTGAACTGCTGTGTTGGAGAAGACTCTTGAGAGTCCCTTGGACTGCAAGGAGATCCAACCAGTCCATCCTAAAGGAAATCAATCCTGAAATATTCATTTGAAGGACTGATGCTGAAGCTGAAACTCCAATGCTTTGAGCACCTGATGCAGAGGGCTTACTCATTTTAAAAGACCCTGATGCTGAGAAAGGTTGAAGGCGAGAGGAAAAGGGGATGACAGAGGATGAGATGGTTGGATGGCATCACTGACTCAATGGACATGAGTTTGAGTAAACTCCAGGAGTTGGTGATGGACAGGGAGGCCTGGCATGCTGCAGTCCATGGGGTTGCAGAGTCAGACATGACTGAGTGATTGAACTGAACTGAAACTGCCCCTTAGAACTCAGAGAAAGTCATGGAGCCTAAGCCAATTTCCTACAAACAAGAAAATGGGGACACATAAAGGCTTCTGTGCCCAGCAGCCTCACAGGGTCCTGCTCAGTTTCAAAGACATATCATTTTATAGCCTCTCTTCTACCCAGGCCTCATTCAACAGAGCCCAGTGAGGGCCTTTTGGGGGATGCTCATCCAGTGAAGCAACCCACTCCAGTACTCTTGACTGGAAAATCCCATGGACCGAGGAGCCTGGTAGGCTGCAGTCCATGGGGTTGCTAGGAGTCGGACACTACTGAGCGACTTCACTTTCCCTTTTCACTTTCATGCACTGGAGAAGGAAATGGCAACCCACTCCAGTGTTCTTGCCTGGAGAATCCCAGGGACAGGGGAGCCTGGTGGGCTGCCGTCTATAGGATCGCACAGGGTCAGACACGACTGAAGTGACTTAGCAACAGCAGCAGCATCCAGTGAAAGTCCCAGTAGGAACAGTGACAAGGGGATGCAATGACCTGGTTCCACTTGGACAAATGAAATAAAATGGATAGAGTGATAGAAATCCAGATCCTAATCTCACTAACTTCAAAGCAGAAAAATTCTTTGCAGCTCTCTGCTCCTCCCCATTTGACAGAGAGCCACATCTTTCATGCTATGTCAGCCACATCCCTGAAAGAAGATGGTGAAAGTCAGAGTGAATGGATTTGGCTGTCCTAGGCACCTGGTCACTAGGTCTACTTTTAACATGGCAAAGTAGACATCTTCACCATCAGTGACCCCATCATTGACCTTAATTACATGGTCTACATGTTCCAGTATGATTCTATCCATGGCAATTTCCATGGCACAGTCAAGGCTGAGAACGGGAAGCTCATCATATTGGAGAGGCCATCACCATCTTCCAAGAGTGAGATATCACCAACATCAAATGGGATGATGCTGGTACTGAGTATGTGGTGGAGTCCACTCATATCTTCACTACCATGGAGATGGCTGGGACTCACTTGAAGGGTGGAACCAAGAGGGTCATCACCTCTGCCTTTTGCCAATGCCCCCATGTTTGTGATGGGTGTGAACCATGAGAATTACGACAACTTCCTCAAGATTGTCAGTAGTGCCTCCTGCACCACCAACTGCTTGTCCCCCTCCTCCCCCCGCAACCCCCCCAGCCAAGGTCATCCATGACCACTTTGGCATGGTGGAGAGATTGATGACCACAGTCCATGCCATCACTGCTACCCAGAAGACTATGGATGGTTCCTCTGAAACTGTGGTGCGATGGCCAAGGGGTTGCCCAAAAAGTCATCCCTGCTTCTATTGGCACTGCCAAGGTCATGGGCAAGGCCATCCCGGAGCTGAATGGAAAGCTCACGAACATGTCCTTCCATGTCCCCACCCCCAACATGTTGGTTGTGGATCTGACCTGCTGCCTGGAGAAACCTGCCAAGTATGATGAGGTCAAGAAGGTGATGAAGCAGGTGTCAGAGGGCCGCCTCAAGGGCATTCTGGGCTACAATGAGGACTGGGTTTTCTCCTGCGACTTCAACAGTGATACTCACTCTTCTACCTTTGATGCTGGGGCTGGCATTGCCCTCAATGACCACTTTGTGAAGCTCATTTCCTGGGACAACAATGAATTTGGCTACAGAAACAGAGTGATGGACCTCATGGTCCCCATGGCCTCCAAGGAGTAAGAGTCCCTGGACCACCAGCCCTAGCAAGAGCATGAAAGGAAGAGAGAGGTCCTCAAATCCTGGGGAGTCCTTGCCCCACCTTGATCCTCCAGCACACTGAGAAATCTCCCAAGTCCCACACGGTTTCCATCCCAGACCTCTTGAGGAAGGCTAGGGGTTAGGGAACACTACCTTGTCATATATCTTCAATAAAGTACCCTTTACCCCCCAAAAAAGAAGAAAAAAAAAGGAAGAAAAATTCTTTCCAAACTTTCCATGGAGTTGGGTCAGGATTCAAATCAGAATTGGAAGCGTGAATAGAATTTACATAGAAAAGATGTTTGAAATCTTTGTGGTCCTGAGAGTTTCAAATTTTTCTTCTTAAAGAGTTGTTATCTAGAAATCTGTCTAAAATAAAATCTGCCTGGCCTGGTGTCTTCCAGCAGCCCTTGTCACACACCGGGCCAGTTGCTATGATAGCAGCCCTTTCTTTCCAGGATGTGTGTTGAGCATATATGGGCATTTATGTGTTGGACTTAACTGAGGAAGATTGTTTAGAAAATACAAATAGCGATTCCCTATATTGAACAATGCAGTCAATTCCTTTCAGAATACAGATCTATAATGATGATGATAACCAAAATTACCCATCAGTGAGCATTCATTGACCTTACTAGTACAAACCATGCAGTATTATCTGCTTTGTTATGGAGATAACTGAGGTTCACCTCAGTAAAACAAGCTAGTAACAGTACAGTGGGAATTTAAGTCTAGGTGTGTTGCCCACAGTGATTGATTCGGAGGTGGTCTTATAACCCAAGTCAGGCCAAAGGAAGGTTTAAAAAATAATTTCAGAAACCTGAAAAGTTAATTTTAAGCCTTAACATTCTGTGATAAACTCCCAAAGGAAGGTGTCTAACAATGAAACTAAAGCAGATGGAAGCATGAGAAATGGGGAAAACTGGATCTCTGAGGACTGGATTTCAGCGCCTAGAGATAGCTACACCTGAAACCAACTAGCCCTGGGTTGGTTAGTTACATGAAACAATAGATTCCTTTTTTTTTTGGCTTAAGTCTCTGTATTGGGGAAGTTTGTCTCAAGCACTGAAGCAGGGGGTCTTCTAACCCACTACCTACTTCACTATGTGAGAATGGGCTGTGAGCTTGGAATGTCTCCTTTCTATGAGATAAAGTCCCCAGAGCCTGTGCCAGGCTATCGCCTTGTGTGGTAATATCTTTCCTTATTTCAGATTCCATGTTTCCATGTGTGCTCCTTTTTTCTGCTTAAGCATGTGTGTGGTGACACCTGGCCAACTCTACTACGGTATCTGTCCTCTTTGGGGAGGGGACTGAGTCCTGTTACTGCAATCCAAGAGATCCCTCTTACAGAACAACTGGCCTGCATCTGAAGCTGAGAGGGACCTGCTTACCCTGGGGCACCCTTGTCTAACTTGGAACTGATCTTGCTCTTTCCCTTCTGTGTGAGTAAAGCCTTGTCTCTTCCAGCACCTGGATGTGTTGTGCTGTCCTGGTGATTTCTTTACCAAGATGCAGTGGACAGAGTGTCTGGACTTCTGTTCCTGGTGATACACAACAGATGCCACTTGCTCGTCACTCTTTGAAATATGTTTTTGCCTTGAAACGGGAAATGGAAAAGCTCTTGACTATCTCTGTTCCCAAACTTTGTCTGAATTTCCTAGTTAAACCCAATAATTTTATCTATCCTTCCCTCATACCTGAATCTGCTATCAGTATTGTTTCATCACAATGGATGGTGGTTGCATTTTTTACGTATCTGTCCTTCACTAGACTGCAAAACCTTGTAAGGCAGAGATAATGCCTGTCTGTGTGTGTATATGTGTGCGTGTGTGTGTGTGTGTGTGTGTGTGTGTGTGTCTAATTCTTGCCTCTAGGCCCCTTGAGAGGTCCCTGGAGAAGGGCATGGCAACCCACTCTGATATACTTGCCTGGAGAATCCCATGAACAGAAGAGCCTGGCAGGCTACAGTCCATGGGGTCTCAATGAGTCAGACATGACTGAGCGAATAACACACACACATACACACACAGAGAAACAGACACACAGGCCTAAATTGTCTCCTGAAATGCAAAGTAATAAAGATTTAACCAGAAAATTCTTCAGGAAAATTTAAGTATCAAGGTGCAGATTCTCCAACTCCTCCACAATATAATAACTCCTCCCATGATTCTCAAACTTTAACTTGCAAACAAATCCTGTGAACATCTTGTCAAAATGTAGATTCTATTTCAGAAAAGTCTGGGGTAAGACCAGAAATTCTCAATCCTAGTAAGTCCTTTGGTAATTTGAGAAGCAAAATATTGATTTGTGTCTTTAGTTCTCTTTAGGACGATGTCAGGTCAGAGCATGTAGGAAAATTCTGATAAATTTCTTATTTGAATTAAGTAAATTCCAACAGAGATTAACTTAATAAAATTTTTTGAGGCACAAAGAGCCATTATTTTCTTAGGCAACCAGTAAGTACTTTTTTGAGCACTGATATGAGTCTGGCTCTCAGCTAAATATAATGACATACCAAAAAAATATGAGATTAGTTCAGTGGAACCCAGTTTAGTCTTGGAACCCATTTCAGTCTTGGAAAGGGATGAGCACTGTTGACTTTAGGGGTGTTACCAAAGTTTGTCATACCTCCAAACTTTGACAATATTTTTACTTGACATTATAGAACAAGAACAAGAAAAGATTCTGGAACTCATCATCCATTCACACCTTGACGTGAGTTAGTAAACTCTGCTTTCCTTTCTCTTATCCTAAAGAGATCCACCAAATAAGGAATAGGGATTTTGTTCTGGTGGCCAAGCCAATCCTCAAGAAAGGGGGATAATTCTAGAGGAAGACAGTGGGGATTCCTGTGGGGTGGTGTTCTCTTTACTAGAGTTTCCCAAAAGGTTTCTGTGTATGACCCAAACCCAACTGTATTGCTCAGCAGAAATGGCACCAAAGATAAGATGAAGACTACTTATACTGAAGTTTTACATCTGGACCATAAGCATCACTGAATATTAGTGACTGCAGAGAACTGAGTGATGGCTTGGTCCAATCCTCTCACTTCATAAAGAAGGAACCTAGAATCCCTAGTGGAGTTTGGCTTGCTCAAACACACTTCTCATGCAGTATGGGGCCCGTTCCTCCCAGTTGGGGTTCTTTTTGCAGCATGAGGGGCAGTGAAGCAGGGGGAGGCTAAGCACCCAGGCTCTCCTCTGTAGTCAGCTTGTTTGGCTTTAACTCCTACTTCTTCAGTTACTTGGGCTTTGAGTGAGTTTTTGTCTCTGTCTCAGTTTCCTTATTTATAAAAAGGTGTTAATGATGGTAAGTACCTCTGCGGGGAGTGGTGAAGATTAAATGAGTTGATCAGTTCAGTTCAGTTGCTCAGTCATGTCTGACTGTTTGCGACCCATGAATCACAGCACGCCTGGCCTCCCTGTCCATCACCAACTCCCGGAGTCCACCCAAACCCATGTCCATCCAGTCGGTGATGCCATCCACCCATCTCATCCTCTGTCGTCCCCTTTTCCTCCTGCCCTCAATCTTTCCCAGCATCAGGATCTTTACAAATGAGTCAGCTCTTCGCATTAGATGGCCAAAGTATTGGCGTTTCAGCTTCAACATCAGTCCTTCCACTGAACACCCAGGACTGATCTCCTTTAGGATGGACTGGTTGGATCTCCTTGCAGTCCAAGGGACTCTCAAGAGTCTTCTCCAACACCACAGTTCAAAAGCATCAATTTTTTGGCACTCAGCTTTCTTTATAGTCCAACTCTCACATCCATACATGACCACTGGAAAAACCATAGCCTTGACTAGACAGACCTTTGCTGGCAAAGTAATGTCTCTGCTTTTTAATATGCTATCTAGGTTGGTCATAACTTTCCTTCCAAGGAGCAAGTGTCTTTTAATTTCATGGCTGCAATCACCATCTGCAGTAATTTTGGAGCCCCCCAAAATAAAGTCAGCCACTGTTTCCACTGTTTCCCTATCTATTTCCCATGAAGTGATGGGACCGAAAGTCATGATCTTAGTTTTCTGAATGTTGAGCTTTAAGCCAGTTTTTTCACTCCTCTTTCACTTTCATCAAGAGGCTCTTTAGTTCTTCTTCACTTTTTGCCATAAGGGTGGTATCCTCTGCATATCTGAGGTTGTTGATATTTCTCCTGGCAATCTTGATTCCAGCTTGTGCTTCCTCCAGCCCAGTGTTTCTCATGATGTCTGCATATAAGTTAAATAAGTTGATACAAGTAAAGTAATGAGTACAGTGTGGGTCCATACTTTGTTCTGGACAAAATCTACTGGGAGCTCAATTTATCTGCTCTAGGCACTCCCGTGTAGTAGGAGAAGAGTGTTTTTTTTCCCTGGCTGAGGACCCAGCATGCTATCCTAAGTTGAAGGACAGGCTGACCTCTTAAGTCCACTACCCTAGTTGTCAGCTGGAGGCACTCAGATTTTGACAACCAGATAAGATCCCCTCCATCTCATACTTCCCCAGACAGGGCAAGTCCTCTTCCCACAAATGTCTGAACCCCACCTCACCCTGTATTTCTGCAAATTCTCAGACCCTTCATCTTTGCTCTGGGGCCCAATGTCCAAAAAGGCTTCCCTTGGGCTGCATAGACCAGGCCACAAAAGTTAGCATCTTTTTTGATCCCCTGCTCAAGAATTCCCTTGTATGACTACATTCATTTCTGAAATTTTCTCAGGGAAGACAGAAGAATGGTTTACATAACAAATCCCTCTTAAAAGCCAAAAACACACACAAAAAAACAACCCTTAAGAACATCACTTAGATATATCTCTTCCCCAAACTCCCTCAGCTTTTCTACCACTTGCTGGGGGTGGGATGGGGGTGGGGTTGGTGGTTAGGGGGTGGGTATGTTTTCTCTTGAGACCTTCCACCAGATTCTGTTAGTCTTGATTGTCCCAGATTTCTCACTCAAACAGGTTGTTTTTCTTTTGTTTATTTAAAGTAAACAAAACAATTCTCAAAG